AACCTGTACAAAGAATACATAAAAATCGAAACGTTTAAAATACAAATCCAAAATATTTTTGGAAAACTTTCAGAAATATAAAAAAAGATTCAAATTCGAAATTGTCTAATAATAAAAAAGATAAAGACTCGATCACGAAAGAATTTGCCTACAGTTTTGAAAATCGATTAAACTCTAAAGCAATCACATATACCTCTACAAATTTAAAAATTCCACCTTGCACAAAATTCGACGAGGTAATAATATCGGATGAAAATATAAAAACGGTTATTTCTCGCCTTAAATTAAACAAATCCAAAGACGCCTTCGGAATATCAGCTGAACATTTAAAGAATGCGAGCTGTGAAGCACTAACAGAATGGCTCAGAAAATTTTGTAACTTTTCTATTAATCATGGACAGACCCCAAAATCGATGTCTAAATCACTTATAATACCACTTACTAAATCGTATAAAAAATTCTTAACTGATCCAAACAACTACCGCGGCATTAGCATCATTCCAATCTTTACGAAACTAATAGAATATCTTATCCTACTAATCTGTCCAGAAATAAAAGAAACTCATCCTCTTCAATTCGGTTTCACTAAAAATAGCTCAACCCTACACGCTGAATTTGTTATTAGTGAAACAATTAAACACTACAACAACAACAACTCACCTGTCTATCTCTGTTCCCTAGATGCTGAATAAGCGTTTGACAGCTGCAATTAGGATATTCTGTTTGAGAGACTGTACAATGATAAAAAACTCCCTCTGTATATTGTTAATACCATATCGTCATTATACTATGAAAGCAGTGCTTCTGTTTCTTATCTAGATTGCAAATCATATCCTTTCTATCTAACGCGAGGAGTGAGACAGGGATCTATTCTCTCGCCTCATTTGTATAACATTTATACTCAAAACCTACTAGAAACCTTACAAAACGAAAGCGTCGTAGGTACATAAATCAATGGAAACTATACAGGTGTTGTAGCATATGCTGATGACATTATACTCCTTAGCTCCACCCTCTCTGGCCTACAAAAGCTTATTAATATATGTAATATGTACACACACAAAAACTGCATAAAATTGAATGCTGACAAAACCGAGTTCCTGCTCACCGGAAAAAAGCAAATTAAAAACTGCACAATAACTCTCAACCACCAACAAATAAAACTTCATGATAAACTTAGTCATCTAGGCTTTACATGGGATACAAAAAGTTCCCCTTTGCCTCACTTAATAAATCAAACATTGATCATCGAATATCTAATTTCCGGACGGTAATCCAAACCTTAATTCAATCAGAAATCCGTTTTGCTCACTCAAACTCCATTGTTCAGTTATATAAAACTTTAGCTGTTCCAACACTAACGTATGGTCTTGAGCTGTGTGAACATAAAAAAATGTTAATGCAAAAGCTTGATATAGTTGGAAGAAATGCACTTAAGTCACTCCTCGATGTTTCAAAACATAGTAAAAATTATATTCATACCTTATTTTTTATTGAAGATATATCAATTATTGTACAACAAAACAAGCTAAACTTATTTATTCGTTTGATGAACAATAAAATGACATATGATATTATTGAAAAACAAAACAGCCCCACAACATTTTTTTTTACATTTACTTAGACTTGAATTACATTTACTTAGACATTTACTTAGACTTGAATTAATTTTTTTGTTGTTACTATATTTAAAATATAGCAAAAGCATATAGTGGCTATTCAAATAATACGTAACATTCTTAGATAGGTGGTGGTGGTTTATGTGTGTGTAGGGGGGAAGGGGAAGGGTGTTTTAGAGTGTCACCAAATATCACGTGGGAGAGGGAGTGGTTAGCCACAGTGTGACATGACAAAATTTTTAAAATTTAAATTCTAATCACAGTGGATTATTAAACTTTAAGCAAAAAGTAACAAACTCGAAGATATATTTGTTTAAAAATGTCACCTCACAAAGAGGGCGGGGAGGGATTGTTTAAAATGTCACAAATATAAAGGGAGGGGGAGTGAGTCTAAAAACAGCAAAAAAAGTGTCTCGTAGTATTTGAATAGCCCCATATACCATATACGTGCAATTACTTTTAAAAGTAATAACATATATAGCATAAACAGTTTTTCAATCTATTTTGAATATCAATTAGCAAAATAATCAATAATCGAAAAATAGAAAAATTGACCAAATAAGAGTCGGTTAGTTTTTTAAATGAGATATTTATTATCAAATAAATACTTCACATCTATAATTGTAAATATAAACATTACAAGCACTTAATAAGAACTAATTGGGGCATATTTACCCAAACTAAAATGGATAATATAAATTGTATTATCCTGAGCTTATATAAGATAACTATTTGGTTTCCTGTATGATGCCAACAGTGAATGCCGATTGGTTTTATTTAATCATTTAAATAATTGTATACTACCGTTATTTTAATACTATAATTTTTGAATTGTTTATTTAATTATTTGAGTAATTAAAAAATCAATTATTTTTAGCCTCTGCTTTTTCCTTTCTTAGCAGTGATGAACCTAGAGTTTATTTGTGAGATACCCTTTCGTTGTGGTGAGTTAGAGCAATATTATTCAAAATAATCATAATATTGTTACTACCTTTGGATAACTGAAATTATCGGAAAACATAGCATTATTATTCAAAGTAAGTTTAATATTTAGGTTATAATAATACTGAACACGCTCCAAGTAACGCGCAGCATTGCCGACTCTTTTAGGAATTCTCAATTTACTCTTGGCATACTTATTGATTTGTAAAAAGCTTTTGATACTGTTAATCACCATATTTTATTGAAAAAGCTAGAAAGCTATGGTATAAGAGATGAAAATCTAAACTGGTTTAAAAGTTATCTAAGTAACCGTAAACGATTTGTTTATAACAAAGAATCTTCGCCTCATTTTTAACGGATATAACATGTGGTGTTCCCCAAGGATCCATACTTGGGCTACTCTTATTTTTAATATACATAAATGATCTTTACAAAGCTTCTAATTTAGCGACTATAATTTTTGCTGACAATACGAGTTTATTTCAGTCAAACAAAGACATTAAAATACTTTTTAACAATATGACTGAGGAACTTAAAAATATTTCATATGGATTCAAAAAAAATAGGTTGTCTTTAAATACCGATAAAACAAAATAATACTTTTTCATCTAACTTCTAAAAAAAAAAGAAAATTCAAAATATCTTGCCTGACTTATATATTGATAGTACAGTAATAAAAAGAAAAAAAATACAAAGTTCTTAGGAGTTATAATAGGTGAAAAGTTATCTTGGAGGCAATAAATTGATATAATTTCAATGAAAATTGCTAAAAGCAATTTCTGTATAAAATTATGTATAAAGTTAGACATATATTAAATAAACATCAATTAACACAACTATATTATTCATTTATTCATTGCCATTTAAATTATGCAAATATAATATAGGGAAGCGCTCACAAAACCAAACTTAAATCTCTCGATCGACATCAGAAACACGCAGCTAAATGTTTTGAATATTTTATGTTTAAATGTAAAGAAAATATATCACCTAATGTATTTATAAATCTTTATAAAAGTATCGAAGAGCCATTTTGCCAAACTAAACTTGACCAGTTTTGTATTTCTTATCGTGGTCCTTCTCTTTGGAATAAAATAATTTTACCTAAATTCGATTTTTCTTTTAAATGGTCTTATTCTTTATTTAAACAAAAAGTAAAAAAAATTATCTTTTCAACACAAAATATTTATATCTGTTTTTAGCATTAAAGTTGTTTTTTTATTTATTTTGATTTATACTTTATTTTGTTTATTATATAGACTGTGAAGAATATTGGAATATTGTATTCTTTTTGTTATATAGATTGTTAAGGGCTTCATGATAAGACCCTATGATCTTCTCGAAGTCCTGACAGTAATATATTCAATGTAAATTTACCTTGTACATATTCTGGCAAATAAATAATAATAATAATAATAAATGCTTTGTTACTTCAATAGATTACTCAGAGATAATTTTAACATCACTTTATTTTGAAATAGCCTTGTTCTCATTTATAAATAAAAAAATTAGATATTTAATAAATAATATAAAATAATAGATTATTTAAAAACTAATGAATAAATTACACATTTTTGTGAATATTGTATCTATATTGGCACACATATTTCTCCTCTCTCGTACACAGAGAGAGACTCTCTCTCGCCTTATGCTAGTGATACAGTTAATTATTTTTTGTTTTTTGATATGGATATTTTTCTTTTAAATATAGAAATATAAACACAAATTCAATGTCTTGTAAAAAAATCAGCTCAATATGTTGAAATCTTCCTTATTTACAGGCCTATTTCCTCATTTTGTATTGGAGCGACGCATAGTGAACCGATGTTATCCATTTTGAAATTTTGTGTAGTTTTTAAAGGTATTCTACTGGTAAGAAACAACAAAATATTAAAAAATTCAAAACATCGAATGTTCAAAAACTAAATAAATTTTAATGCATCTAATATAATAAACTAGACATTTTCACTTTAATTCGATAAAGCTTCAATTAAATTATATTAGGACAAGATAGAGAAGAGTGAAGCTATAAGATGATATATATAGTGAAGATATTAGACAAAATAGATGAACGAAAACTAGACACATCTGGTTAATTTTATAATGGTTACTCAGAGTGGATTAACTGGAAAGTTAGTTTCAAAGCTGTTTGAAAAAGAGTTGCTCGTGTCCTTGAAAAAACATTAATATTGGACACCTTCCGTATGTATTAAGTGCTACCAAATACTTCACATTAGACTCTCAAATAGGACATTCTCAAATCGGACAATAAATATATTTCCCTTGAAAGTCCGAGTTAACGGGAATTTAATTTAAATTTTTTTTGTATATAAATTCTATTTGCTATCACTGGCACCTTGTCAAAAATAACCGGTGTTTCTGTGTGTACACATGTTTTAAAGTGCATACTTAAAGAACTCTAAAGAAATTAGCCATTGATTTGAAAAAAAATAAATTTTTACTTTTGCTTTATATATCAGTTAAGTTTCATCAATTAAATTTAGAAAAATAACGTCATCAGCAAAAATGAATATTTTTTAGCGCATGTCAATGTTTTGCTCAATAAACAAGACAATGCTTAGGCCATAAACACTGGCATTATAATTAATTAAAGTCCATCTAAACTTCTATAATTTTTTTATCTTCTATAATTCGTGCGTCTTTATTTCCGGTCACCACCTCTCCAATAATCCAAGAATCATATCCATCCAGGGCCTTTAATTCGTCGCAGTATGCGTGTGCATTTTCTTTCGGTAAACAAACAAATAGACCACCTATAAAAAACAATTGAATATAAAAAAATATATCTATATACCTATATACATACATTTATAATGAAACTCATTTTTCACCATCACGTCAAGTTGTAAAGATATTTGGGTTCAAATCTTTAGTGTTTAGTAACGTCAAAAAAAAAAAATTTATTCAAAAGTATGTCAACCTGGGTGCTAAAGATTCCTTAAAAATTTTAACAATGTTTCTCAGCAATAATACAAAAAGCATTTATTTTTATTACAAACGAATATTATTTTTGAAATCTCTATGAAAATACGCTTCTTTGAGACCCAGGTTGACAAGACACCTTTACGTATCAGAATATGTTCATTTTTGCCACACTTGCACTCTGTATTAAAAAAATAACAGCGAAGATTATCTAAAGCGACTACAAAGCAACTTTAACATATAGTATCTTCATAATGGCCTAGGTAAATTTCCTAAACTTTGGTTTAGGAAATTTACCTATAGATTTATATACCCCAATAGATTTTTACTTGAGGAATCCAAAAATAGCACCTTCAAGACTCGATTGTCTCAGGAAATCCCCCATTTTTGCTTACCTCTTATATCAAAAACAAGCAAAAGTTTTGTTTTGTTCTTTTTAAAGGTTGTACTTTACTTGTTTGTATTTTCTCAAAAAATGATTGTAAATTTTATTGTTTTTGCATTTTTTTTGTCAGGTAATATTATAAATAATAAACATATTTAATATGGAGAAATGTGACATTGGAAAAAGTCTTAACATTCATTGCCACAAAACTGGATTTTCTAGAAAACAAGGTTTTGTTCAAGTCAAAAATCTTCTTTGTGAAAAACAAGAATTAATATGGCGAGCAAATTTAAAGGAAAAATATAAAAGATAGATAAAAGTTAATCACTAAATTAACATGGACACGTTACTCACTAAGTTAATCACTAAATTACTCATGGACACGTACAAAGATATCAAGCTACATTGAAGTGTCTGAGTATCTTGTTTGAACTGCAAGAAAAGTTAAAAAAAAAGTATGGAATTCTATTATTGCCTGGAAAAAAAAAAGGAAACCCACTTTTACTAGAAACAGTTAATTTAGTAATTAACTTTTATCAAAGTAATGAATTTTTAAGAATGATGCCAGGAAAAAAAGATTTTCAAAGTGTTAAGAAAAACCAACATGTTCAAAAAAGATAATTGCTACTCAATCTTAACAAACTACATGTTGGATTTAAAAAAGACTACCCTAACGTCAAAATCAGTTTGTTATAGTTTTGTACTCTTAAACCTAAATGGTGCATTACAACTTCTTAAACCTAAATGGTGCATTACAGCATCTTAAACCTAAATGGTGCATTAATGCCTCAAGTAATCATAATAAATGTGTATGCATACATCACCAAAATACAAAATTTCTCATTGATGCCATTAGATGGAATAAAAGTTATAAAGATTTCATGGCATTGATTGTTCTCTAGAAAATACAGAATGTATGTTGCATTGATGAAACCAATGCCCTGGTATTACTTTAAAAGTTTGTAAATTAAAGATTCAAAAACCTTGCTTATGATAGGAAGAAGACTAATGGGACAGTAGTTAGACGAATCAGATCACTCTCCAGAATTTTTGAAATTAGGGATAACAGATGCCACTTTCCAGCAGGCTAGAAAACAAGACTCTGATAAGCACTTGTTAAATGGTTTTAAAAGTATAGACGACAGCTCTGGAGAACACTTCTGCAAGACTATAGAAGAGTCTAAGGAAATCACTTTAGATACAGAAGCTAGAGTGTCTAAGTAGGAAATCACTTTAGATACAGAAGCTGGAGTGATACGAATGACAAGCAATGGATCAACCTTGTTTGATGACTAACTCAGGTAGAACGCAACTAGTGGAATCAAGAGATAATATTGATGAAAAGTTCTTAGCAAACAACTCAACTGTGTCTTTAGGTGAGTTGAACCATGTCTTTAGGTGAGTTGTTTTTAGGTGAGTTGAACCATACAAGAGAGGTGGAATAACAGATTTGCCCTTATTATGAATACTATTAAAGATTCTCCAGAAGTCATGAGAGCCTAATTTTTGTAATGAAATACAAAATTTCATGATGTGAGAATAGCGGGCTTTGGCGTTAACCTTTTTACAGTGGTTTCTAGCAGTAATAAACAGATGTCTGTTTTCTGGGGAATTGCTTTGCTGATAGATATGGAAGTAACGGTTTCGATTAGAAATTGCAGCAGCACAATGTGAGGAAAACCATGGAGAAATGAGGCTTGACCTGCAATCGTTGAGAGGTAATAAAAGATTCCATGCCAGCCTGAATCCACAAAGTTATATAAGAAGCACATTTGTCAGCAGGAAGACGAAAGATTTCTACCCAAGGGCCATTAGGAAGAAAATCATGGAAAGAGTCAGCTAGTCAGCTTTAAGGTAATTGTAAGAGGTACAATGATAGGGAGATTCAAATGATGAAGAAGAATGAGATAATAGTTTTAGAGAGATCAAACCATGATCAGAAGCACTCAAGGGTGAGCGTAGAGAAACTGAGCACTGATTAGGACCAGAAACAAGACATAAGTCGAGTAGAGAAGGTAAATGATTCGGGTTGTCTGGAAAAAAAGAGAAAGACAATAGAGTGAAGTGGTGCTAAACGAAAGCACATAGAAGAATAGTCTGTGGATTCAAACCTAGTTTACCCACAAATGGGCGAATTCTTACAAATGCAAATGCCCAGGCCAAGCATGTGAATATTGGAGTCTTTACGAACTAAAGGAAGATAACCATCAACACTAAAATCACAAGATGAGACAGCTGAATTCAAATTAGACTCACAAAGAGCAAGTAGGTCTGGTTAATTTTGCAAGAGATAAGACTCAATAGAAGAAAAGTTTTTTCGAAGACCATGAATATTAGTGAATGATAGGTTTAGAGAACTTGGTGATGACGTTTTTTAGTTTTTGGTGCTTTACTCATTTTTAAATTTCTTAAAGAACTTGACTCAAAGCATAGGCAGTACTCAGTACACTATTTAAATACCCCAAGCGATTGCATTACTATTATTAACAAACCCGAAGCCGTAACAAAGGGCCCCAAATGTGGTTTGGACAATGCACACCAAAAGTACAAACAGGGACACTATCCATGCACAACATGGCACTGTTAGTACTCTGATATTTTTCAGTTGTTGATGGAATAAGCCTCTCTGAGAGCTACCACAGAGTTTGGGAAACCTTACTAACAGCCGGCCTCAGAACCATAAAAATGAGTTTTAGAGCTGTACCCTGATTAGGAGATAATAGAATGAGTTGCCTAGTCATAAAAACAGAGCCAGCCTAATTGATGAGGCGCCAGCCTAATAGATTTCAGTAAACATTAAAAAAATGGATTATATTCCATGTTTTTATGACAGATTTTGGTGGGTAAGGATTGCTGAAGATGTAAGTAAGCTTGATATAAAAGTCAGATTCATGCATCCACATGGACCAGGTGAAAACTTCTTTAGGCCACTGAAAAAACGATGAGTGTTGGGTGCTCAATTCTGAAGTTATATGTCTGATTTCTACACCCACAACAATATCAGGTTGTACATACAACATCTAATTTAGATTTGGAGAATATAAGTAGTTGGTTACAAAAAAAAAAAAAAAAAAACTTTTAAAATGATTTTGTTGCAATTTTATTTATCTATTTTTCATTTAGAATTTGTCTTTCTTATTTTCAAATCCTTAAATGGAAGGCTGAGAAGGAGGGGAGTTTAAATAAATTCTAGTGTCCACCTTATGTCAATGACTATATTAGTTTTAAACTTCTAAATAATACTATAAAGATATTGATTGTTAAAATGTTATAAAAAACATTTCAATATCTTTGGTTTTAAAATTCATGATTTTTAAGATCTCAGTTTTGAGTGCTTACTTCGAAATAAGATTTATTGATTTGAAATAATGAAAAAAAATTGAAATGTTAACAAATGTTAACTAAAAAAAAACTTATCCTTTTAAATTGAATTTTAATAATTATTTATAATTAACTCATTTTATGTATTTAAAAAAAAAATTCCAAGGAGATTGGGGGAGGGGGCAGAGTTGGTTCTAAACTAGTCAATAAATAACACTATTTGATGTTTTATCCAAACAAATGTTTTAAAAAACATTTAAATTTGCTACAAAATTTAAATTTTTCTAAAGAGACAATTTTTAAACACAAATTTTGATCAAGTATTATAGAAACAATTGATGAAATTTTTTCCAGTATTTTTCAGTCCTAAGATAAAATATTGATATACAATTAAACTTTTTCTCGTGGATATTGGGCCACAGTCTTCATTTTACCTACAAAAATCATGAATTTACTAGTCAATAATTTTGAACAAAACTAGATAAACTGGACATTTTAATAAAAAAAAATTAAAAAAAAAATTTCTGAGACAATCGAGTCTTAAAGGTGCTATTTTTGGATTCCTCAAGTAAAATCAACTGTGGTACTAAATTTTAGAAAACTTTCCCAAGTCATTATGAAAATACTATATGTCAAAGTTGCTTTGTAGTCACTTCAGACAATCACTAAAATGCTGAGTCAGCATTATTTCAACTAAAACTAACTAAAACTTTTGCAATTACTATTTTTTTTAATATGGGCTGCAAGTGAGGTAAAAATAAACAAATTCTGAGATGTAAGGGTGTTGAAAATATTTTTTTGGGGTAATTTCATGTGGAGTTACCTTTTGAATAACATTTTTTTGACAATATTAGGGATTTTACCTCAAATGTTAAAGACTTGAAACCAAATATCTTCACAACTTGACGTGATGGCGAAAAATAAGTTGCATATTTAAAATTAAAATACTTTACAAAAAACAAATTGCCTGCTCGGCACCAGAAAAAATTTTTTTTTTCGTTGACTTATGTAATATTACTTATAAATTTTATTAGTTTATTTATAAATAATAAATGTCTAAAGTTTTTTTTATATATTTAATTATTTGTTATTTGTTATTTTTAAAGTAGCATAATTCTATTTTTTATTAATCAGCACATAAAAAAAAAATCATACTGCGTTTTAAAAACAAACATAAACACACACACAAATGCACACACACATACATATATTTAATTATACACTCAAGCCATCATTTTAAAAGCAAAAAATAAAGTACAAAGAAAAACCTGACGTTTCCGGAGAGTAGCCATCAGTCAGTTTAAAATTTACTCCACTTGATAAGAAAATCTTAAACATATTTTTAATGATTGGTAAAGTATGAATTACAAAATCGACATTTAATTTCTGACTTTTTGCTAAATTCTTTGCATGACCTAAGATACCAAAGCCAGTAATATCAGTAGCTGCATTGGCATTATACTTGTGCATTAAAATTGCAGCATTTCTATTAAGTCGAGCCATGTTGGCCATTGCTTTCTGATAAGCGACTTCGACCTCCTCTTTAGAAGTAACTTGTTCTATTTTTACCCACCTTTCAGGCTGAAAAAAAAATTATGCAATATATATATATATATATATATATATATATATATATATATATATATATATATATATATATATATATATATATATATATATATATATATACACACACACAGGGCCAGACATCGGACATTTTCCAGTAAGAAAATGACATCTGTCGGTCATTTTGTCTGACGTGTTTAATGTGCATTTATTTTCTAATCATTTTAGTTATTTATTATAAAAAACAAAATTGAAGTTGAACAGCTACATTAATAAAATAAAACATTTTTAATTCACTTTTTAAAAGACATCAATGCATTACATTTTTTTGAATTAAGTAGCCCAGTTTTTATCATTCATATCAAAACGTTGCAAATAATTATTAATTTAAATTTATAGTTTTTATTTATAATTTTTTATTATAAATTTTTATTTTAATTTTAATTTAATTATTTTTATTATAAATTTATAGTATTTATTTTATTTATTATTAGATGGTTTTTATAAATTTTAAACAAACATATTAGCTTTTATTTTATTTAATTTATTTTATAAAAATTGTAATAACGTAATAGTTATTTTAATGGTTAGAAAACAGTACTTTTTATAGCACTATCAAATTTGAGTTGTTATGTAACGTTTGTTTTCGCGCTAAAAATTTTCGCTCTTAAAAATGTTAATAAAATTAATCCTAGGAAAAGATTTATAAAAAAATATAAATTTTAAATAAATGTATTTACGTATAATATTCTTTGATGATTTAAATAAAATGTGTTTATTGTAAACATTATTAATTTGTTACTTTATTTAATAAAGTAATAAGTAAACAATTTATGTATTTAATATATTTACATTGTAATTTATGCATTTAATAGTTTTGTATTTTTATTATACATTTTATTACATATTTAATTATGTATTTAATAATTACATAATTTATGCATTTAATATATTTATGTAATAATTTATGTATCTAATAATTTACAAAGCATTTCGCATAGTATAATAATTTAATATAAATATATTTTCCTATTCAAATTTTAGTTTTTTGAGCTTATATTTTTGCTTTTTCTTTAAGATTTTCTTTTTGTAAAATAATTAATCTTACAAATTTAATTTTTATTTTCAGTGCATTTTGAAATACCTAGAGAAAAATATTTATTAGTATTTATCTTTAAAATTATTTATGTAGTATTTATTCAAAGCATTCTTTTTACTGTTTTTATTTTAATTTAAATAGCAGAAAAAAATAATTTTTTTTTCAGGCAAACTTAAAAATGACAATCTGGCCAGCACTTTTTTGTGTGCCGACATTAATTAATATATATATATATATATATATATATATATATATATATATATATATATATATATATATATATATATATATATATATATATATATATATATATATATATATATATATATATACACACACACACACACAAACACATATTTTTTATATGATCCAAATATTCAAAACATTAAAAAACATATTACCTTATGTAACCATTGGTGTGCATTAACTGCAACCTGTGTACCAATTGGCTTTGTCAAAACAATCAGATCATTCACCTCTGCTCCATCGGGTCTAGAAAAATATTAAAATTAAAGCAAATTCTGAGTAAACAAGTTTAATGGTTAAAATATATTGTATTTAAGAAAAATGTAAACTTAAATATGTAAAGTAACTCTTTCATAAGTAGATTCTCACAAAACCTTTAAACATCATCTGTTACTACCAAAAAAATACTCTTTGCCTTTTTCTAATCACCATTTTAAAAAGTATGAAAAATTATTAAAATCTTAATTTTTCTTTTTAAAAATTAAAGTATGTAATATAAAAAAGCAGACAGTATCTATGCATAAAAATGAGTAGCACAGTGTTTAGAATTCGGCTCACAACAAGATTTGATGCTGTTGTTAGCCAGATAAGCAACATTGATAAGGAAGGAGGCTTCCTAGTTAAATGCTCTATGATGCAACCACTTAAAATATGATGCTCTTCCTCTATGATGCAACCATTAGGCCATTAGGTCTTCCTCTATGATGCAACCATTAGGTCTTTTTAGAGCACCTTAATAACCAATAATAACAAAAAAGGACCTTTATTACAGTAAAAAAAAAAAGTTTTCTGTTCTATCCTTATTTCCACATTTGTTTCATTGCCATACATCTTAACTCTTCAGATGCATTATGGTGCATGCATGTTTTTTAAATTACTTAAACTCAAACTTTGATAAGTTTCTCTAATTTATGTTTTATAAGTTACTTAAATGTGTATTTTAAAAATTAATTATATTTTACAATTTTCTTTTTTTTGTATTTAGATAATCAAATTACAACTTTAACTTTTTTATTGCGCATTATGTATGGTTTGTCTTTAGTAATATTGATCACAAACATTTGTTTTAGTCATCGTTATTATTAGACAATGACACCATCTTTTAGTTATTTCTTTTTTACGATGGTAAGCATTGTTAAATTTCTGGAATTACTAATAATATTAGGTTATTATAATTTATTAATTTATTTTTACTTTTGAAATAAGTAATTAGACTACAGTACCTGGCCACAATATCACTTCAGTTTTTCCACATATTTTGTTTTCAAAGTTATTTTAAAGTAATTTTAAGGTAAGTATATTATTATTACTAACTTCTTATACAATACTGACATCTATTGAATAAAATAGAAAAGAAAATTATTTATAATCATGACCAATGTGAAGTTAGGTCTGTTTTAAGTCAGCAATGTAAATTTTTCTCAATTTTTAAAAAAATGTGGTTGAGCTGCCACATACATTTTTTTTTTAAACAGTTTTTTTTTTAGTGAAAAGTGTTTTATTATTTTTAATACATTTTATAAAGTTACTATAAATAGCAAGAATTAATATATAGTACCATTTTATTAACATTTTATAGTGTAACAGGTTGTAAAAAATAAACATGGGTAAGGGTAAGGACATGAGTCCAAGCAAAATTTCAGAAGTGAAAGCACTTTTACAACATTCAGAGCATTCACAACAGGAAATTGCAAAAATGTGTAAAGTTTTGCAACCTTTTGTCAATAAAATCAAACACAAAATGGAAAATGACATCACTCTTTCTCCAAAAAGGAAAGGACAGAGTGGGTCAAAACCACTCCCAGGACAGACAGAATTATAGAAGATAAATGTCTAGAAAATAAAAAAAAAAAACATCCCTCTTGCTGTCAAAACTTGTTCAGGAGTATGGAATACAAGTTTCAGAGCGCACAGTGAGGAGACGTCTAGCTGAAGTTGGTTTAAAATCACACAAACTGACTAAAAAACCAAGGCTAACTCCAGCAATAATAAAAAAGAGATTGCAATGGGCAAAAAATCATAAGTATATGACTATTGGAGATTAAGAATGCGTAAGTTTATCAATTTTGAATGAAATATTGTTAAAAAAGTGTTTAAATGTTGACATAAACTTAATTACAACCTCACTATGATGATTTTTTCAGGTGTGTTTTTCAGACAAAAAACACACCTTACTTGTTGGACAAAGCCACCTTCGTCCGAAGAAGACCAAATGAAAAATATTATCCAGATTGGATTGTACTATTAAACATCCAATTAAAGTTATGGTGTGGTCAGTTATCAGTGATAAAGGCACAGGAAGACTATATATTGTCAATGGGATGATGAACCAAATACAGTATCAAGAGGTTATGGAGAGCCAACTTATCCCCCAAATAGAAGAATGGTTTCCAAATAACAATACATTTACGTTAATGCATGATGGTGCTCCTAACCATAAAGCTAAAAGGATCACAAACTTTCTTAAAACAAAAAATATCCCTGTTTCAGATTGGCCAGGAAACTCTCCTGACCTGAATCCGATTGAGAATTTGTGTAACATTCTCAAAAAGGAAATCTTTTCTGAAGTTTCAACAAACAAAAAGGATTTGATTGAAAAATTTCTCTATCATTGGCACCACAATAAAAAAATTAAGACAGCAGCAATAAACTGTATTAAAAGTATGCCAGACCGAATAACTAAAGTCATTTCGTTGAAAGGAAGAATGACAAAATATTAATATTTTTTTATGACTTGTGATCAAATAGAGTAGTTTCTCGTTAAAATGTGTGTATATTGATATTGAAATATAATTTTTTTATTAAGGAAACATGTTTTATCAACAAAATATAACTAATATTGCAATTGTATTTTTTTATACTTTTTACAAACCCTTTAAGTTAAAAATACACAAAAACTGTAGGTGATCATAATATTGTGGCCAGGAACTGTAATAATAGTTTTCAAAAAAATTTAAAAAAACTTACAAAATTATTTCATTTAAATTTGATATACTTGTTGCAACACCTCCAATAATAAACCAGGGATTTAAGACTGTCTGTCCACCATTAATCGTTGTACCAGCTTCTTTTGCAAGATCTTTGAAACCTTGAATAACAAGCTTTGTAACAACCTCACGCTCTAAAGCTGATAGATCAGTACTGACACCCAGCAGCATTAACATATTATCACAATTTGAAATACCTAAATTTAAGATAGTAAAATTGACATGAAAAAAACAAACTTTGTAGGTAGAATAACTCATTTGGTAACTATCACAGTGGTCAGAAAGGCTTGAAAATGCGAAATAATTCAAAAATACTTATTTTTAAAAACGAACTAAATTTAATGCCAAATAATTCTTCAAACCTTCAAGAAAGTACACTTGATATATTTTTGCTCTAGTGCACTGAATTTTTGTATTTTGTCCCATTCGAAGAGCAAGGGTTAAAAATCAAATTAGTGAAACTGAAAAATGTCTTAATATTTTTTCTGTTTAGGGCTAAATTTTTTAATATATTATATTCCTTTTTACAAATTTGGAAAACTTTGCAGCAAGATTAATCTAAAATGAAACTCAGTGTAGAGGGATTTACTTGAAAGCCACAGTAAGTAAAGGATGCCAGATCATTTTCAAAATTGACCAAATTTTATTTTAAAAGATTAGAAAAATTAAATTTCTGGTCTTTGTCCAACTCTGACCAATTCTATTCAAATTTTTAAGTATTGATTAAGAACCACTTAACCATTTCTGCTTAAAATCATACCCCCCTACGTCCCTCTTTCAAAGTTAAATCAATTCATTCAGCTGGCATGCCATTGCCATGGCAATCCTAAATTTGCCGTGCATCCTAAATTGCGCGACAAACTTACATACGTTGCTGTAAATTTTGGCGGCAAAATTTACACGAAAAATTTAAAATTTAAATAAAAAATTACAGACATAACTTTTGATTAGAACATTGTACATAAAAAGTTAGGTATTCATTGGAAAGCCTATTATTTAAGCTATGCAATTAATAGTTTAATTAATTGTTCAGTACTAAATTTCTACAACGTCAACAACAATATTTTAATTTGAGACATCATCTATGGTTTAAAGGTAAGAATTTTCATCTTATTCAACTTTTCCTATATTTCTATTAGCATTAAAAGAACCAAAGAACAATTTCAGGCAAATTATTAACAGCTCTCTCTCGGTTGCAAATATTTCATGCTACTCAAACAAAATGTAAATGTACAATTTTAATTTGATAGTAAATGCAAAAAAACATGCTTAAAAGCTTTTATAATTATTTCTTTCAGATGTCCTTACCACAAAAAGGCACTAAGTTGATTGAAATCAAAAATGGGGACATTTGTCAAGTCATGAAAGAGAGTAATGTTGCCATTACGGACAGAAATGGTCAATTTGAAGTTATTCAAGAATATATTTTTTTAACTTCCAACATCTGCAGAATTGATTTCCATTACTTGAAACCAAAAACCAACTCCTTTTTGTCTCACGTCATTGCAAGGTACAGGAAATGCAACTACTGTTTTGAAAAATTCATGAAAAGCAGTGCTTCTTTTCTTGACAACACTTTCATCTCAAAAGAAAGCCTTCACAGCTCAACATCAGAGAGTGAAGCTAGCTCATCTTCATCAATGCTGCCTATAAAGAAGCAAAAAGTTGGAAGGAAAAGTAAGCCATTCAGTGAAAAGTCAGAGAGAGCACAGCAAATTTCAAGTGCGAAAATTCGTCAAGAATATGAACCTGAGGCAATGACCAAAGCTGCTTCACAACAAGGCACAACTCTGGCAAAAGTGATTCGAAAGTCAATAAATCAGACTGAGGAAGTAGCACAACAAGCACTTGATGCAGTTTCATCAGAAAAACCTTTAAAAGTCATGCAAAAAACTCCAGAGGAGGCAGTCTTTTTTTACTGCTGAATGATTTATCAAAAGATCAGTATTGTGCAATGAAAACTGCATGCACAGCAATGTCAACATCTGGCCCAACTACAACAAAATAGTTGAGGCCGAGACGAGTTGCCGACCAAAAGACATTCACCTTTTGGAACATTCAGCATGGGTACAAATGCAGAATCTCCTTGATCACACATTAAAAAGGATTTTAGAAAAAATCCAGTCCTTGAAATGATGACAGAGGGCAGTAACAGCATTGAGCTTATTCTTTACTTTAAGCTGGGTTTTGATGGATGGGGATCATTCAACACTTCATCAGAAAGACTCAAATAATGAGATTCCAGATGGCAGCACGTTAATGGTGAGTCAACTTGTACCATTACAAATCATTGACTTGAACTGCCCAGAGAGGGTAGTATACCTTAACTAATCTCCAAATTCTGCACAGTCATGTCAACCATTACGAATCGCATACGAAGAGGAGTCAAAAGCTGCCATCAAAAATGAGTCAACTAGGCTTCAGAAGGAAAAAGCAGAACTTCAGCCTTACATTTTGTCTGAAAATCCAGAAGTCAAAGTTACCTACCATGGACTTCTCACCATGGAAAAGTTCTCCAACAATTGACAGACTGTCCAGCATCATCATCATGCCCAATATGCCATGAGTCTTGTGGAAAAATAGCTAAGCCTGATGGAGATTTTACTCCCATGTCTGGATCTTTGGACTTAGTAGCATCAATTTTGCATTTTGGATTGAGAGCTTTTGATAGCCTTTGTCACATTGGCTACAGGCAAAACATCAAAAAATGTCAAAAGCATTTGACACCAGAGGAAAAAGCAAACATTACAACTACACAAGAACATCTGAAGGCACAATTTGCAGAAAAATTAGGCTTTATTGCTAATAAAAGACAGGATGGCAGTGCCGGAACAACCACTACTGGCAATGTTGTCCGTATTGCCTTTGACAACCCTGCAATTACAGCAGAGATTTGTAAAATTCCAGTTAAACATGTTGAGAACATTGCCACAATATGGGGAGCACTATCAGGTGGCTTTGCTATTAATTCAACAAAGTTTGCTGAACTTTGCAAGGAAACTGAAGAAATTTATTTCGATGAAGAGAATGGTTTTTATTTGGTATTTTTTACCTCCAACATTTCATAAAATTTTTGAACATGGCAAGGATCTTATTGACAATTGCCCTCTTCCAATTGGACTCACAAATTAAGAAGGATCTGAAGCCAACAATAAGTTTTTGAGAAACTTCAGAATGAATCATACAAGAAAGTCTTCATTGGCACATGGCATGGCTGATATGTTCCACAGGCTCACAGATTTGAGTGATCCAAAGGTTTAAGGATCATGTGTTGGAAACCGCCAAAGATTCAAAAAGAAGAAAAAACTGCCAGCAAGGATTGTTTCTTTACTTGAGTTTTGTGAACCAACCACACTAGTTACCAGGCTTTCGTGATGATAGTAAATCAGATTAAGTTTTTGGACATTTGAAATTATTTTTAATTTTTTCACTATATTGTGATAATAATGTTTTCAATGTTATTCTATTATTAAAACTATTACATTTTAAGTTTGTCAAAAGTGTTAAAAACCAAATAAATTTTATTTAAAATGTTTCATGCTTAATTTTTTATATTATTACCAATTTTAACTGTTTTGGAAAGGAAACACAATTAATTCGCAATTTCAAGCATTTCTGACCACTGTGACTATAGTCATATTTGTAGAAAAAAAGAGAAAGACAACCTAATGATGATCAGTACCAGGTTTTCTAATGAAGCTCTAATTCATTTAGAAATAATAGTTAGAAGTGCTAATTAAATAAGTTAATGGTATTAAATAAGTTATAGACCGTTATTAAATAAGTTAAAAATAAGTTAGCTAATAAGTTACAAATAAAAAATAGGAAAAAAAGGTCTATAAGACCAGTATTAACTTTTTTTAATTTAATTTAATTTATTTAAATTTTAATTACCTAATTTATTTTTAAATTACTATTTCTAAATGAAAAAGAGCATGATTAAAAAGTATGGTTATAAAAATTGATACAACATTTTATAAAAGATTTTTTAAATCAATTCAATAATAACAAGGAGGTATAATACACAAGCTGGAGGGAGAACGAAGCCAAAATTTGTATAAAATTCCGGTACAGTCTTAGTAGTATAATTTATCCAGCAGCAACTCAAAATGGCAGCTTTGCATTAAAAAAAAAATTTTTTTAATTAATTTATCAAGAAGTAATCACTTCAGTATATATGTAAGGAAATCGCTTTTTTAATACCTCGATACTAGATATAAAGATCAAAGTTTTGGACAATCTCTACTACTTGCTCTTTTGCTTACCCATTTAGCCTTTGGTTTTTAATGCTCTTAAAGAACGTTTTTTTTTTGGCAATGAACTTATTTTATTTCTCCTGGATTTTATTTTGCATTGTAGTATTTTTGCTGGATTTTAAAATAAATTGCTATATTTTATATTTTTCTCAACGAAAATAATAAACACAATAAAAAAAAAGAAACAATTGATAACTCTGCAATGGATTTTATAAAATAACAGGTCACAAATAGATTGCTACTAGAAACATGCAATTCATTAAATTTTGACACACAATCAGCTGCCTTGTAGGATATTTTTTAAAAACAAAAATAAGAGAAAGCAACTCTGACAAAAACCACGCCCAGCTTTAAAGCTCTTTGTTGAAAAAGATACATACATTGAAACCATTAGCCATATATTAAAGCCCCTTTCTTTTAGCTATTTCAGAACAATGTTATTAATGATGTTATAAACATTGCAAAATAAGTAAATAATTAGTTTGTGATAACTAGGATGAGAGAAGCAGTACATTCTGTATCCAAATCATATAGTGAATTTATATATGTTCATACAGTTCTTTGCCAGTAGATGCAGGACATTTTATGCCAATTCATATTATTATTATTAATTGCAACTTTCAATAAAATTCAAATTTGAGGAGATTTTTAGTTTAACAAAAAAAAAAAAAAAAAGATTTGTTCCAGTGCTTAACATAACAACATATTTGGTTGAAATTTTGGTTTAAAATGCGATAGCAAGCAAAAGTAAATAACTTTTAAAAAAACTATTTATTTTAACTGTAAAACTATTTTAATTGTAGAAAAGACTTTCTGGCAAAAAGTCTATACATACTAAAATCTAAAACTCAATTTAAAAAAAAACAAAATACAAAAAATGGACATACAGCCTCCTGGTTCTCAGCTAATGACAAAATAAATGTGGTCAATAACAAAAACATAATGTAATAATAGATAATCTCATAATATTTTTATTTCTAGATATGGAAAAAATATGGAATGAAATAGCTTAAATGTTCTGTTAACAGTCTTCACAAACATGCATAACTAAATTTTTTAATTGAAGTTTTTTCACATAACTTAGATCCAGTCTTTCAATTTTATGAGGATATTTACCTTACTTAAGTGCAATACAAGTATGTGTATTCAAATTTTTAATTTTACGTATTATATTGCATTTTAAATGAAAATAAATAATAACAAAAGAATAAAAATTATACATAAACTTTATTTTTATGAGCAATTCATATACTACATTACATAATAAAATGTTCTTTTTGCAATTTTTACTTTATTTTGTTTAGAATTGAAATAAAAAGTTCCTTTTTCCACTTTAATTTTAAATATTTTATAAAAAATCTAAATTGCACATTCATTTTTCTGTTTTTATTTTATTTAGAATTCAAATAAAACATTTGTTTTGCCATTTTTATTTTTATTGTTACAATTGCACGCTAGTCTAAAAATGCTCACCATTAATTGAAAGAATCTGTAGAGCAGAAGCTCCAAAAATGTAAAAAATTTTAGGTTAGAGAAACCATCTATTTTGAGCCCAGGACTTTAATTTATATTGGCAGAAATGACCCCAGGACAAAATAACAATAGGTTTTAAGTCATTGAATCTTGAGGATTTTTGTTCTTTTATCAGGTCATGATGTAAAAATATAGTTTTGTAACATCAGTTATGACAGGGTTGCCACTATAATTTTTAAAGTTTTTCCCTAAGATTTCATTGAGTAAAGAACGTTTTTCCATGAGTTGAACTCTTTAAGTTCCCTGAGTTTTCCCTGACTTTTCTATATTCCTTCCTATTTATCAAGATTATTATTTTCCTTAATTAAACACAATCTTTATATTTGACAAACTAAAACTTTCACAACAACACCCACATCTTGCAAACTTATTATTATATGTATTAGCAAAATATTTTTGAAAAAAAAAAAATTGTACAAAATTTCAAAAAAAATAAAATACTTTCCCTGAGTTTTCCCTGAATTTTATAAAAAACTTTAAAAATTCCTGAGTTTTTCAGGTTTTCCCTGAAATTCGTGTTATTTCCAGGTATTCTAGGTTTTCCAGGTTAAGTGGCAACCCTCTATGATGCATTGCAAAGTTTGGTAATGCCAGTTGCAGGGTTGGGGTCAAATATGTTTGATCAAATACATATACAAATATGTAAAATCTAGCTTTAAAAATTCAAATTCAAATACAAATATATGCAATCAGCATTTTTTGAATACAATTATTTGTAATTAAGGTTAAGAAAAAATAAAAAGATTTTTTTAAGACAATTTTTTTAAGGCAAAATAAAATGGTATATTTAAGAGTAAAAACAAGCTCTCTAACAACAAATTTTTAATTTATTTTAGCGTTAAAAAAGAAAAAAGCACAACACTGGTTTACCTAGTTTATGGAACTGCAAATACATTTCAATCAAATACAAATGTTATTTATCAAATACAATATAAATATAATTATGCCAAAATTAGCCCATTTTTACCAAATATAAATTCAAATATGTATTTTACCCTAACCCTGGCTAGTTGTAATCCCCTGCATCTTCTCATACTTTCTTAAAATTATGGTTTGAAATGGTTTGAAACAATAATGTCCATTTGCCACTGTTTTTACAAATTAAAGACATTGCTGCTGATCCGAATGGCACACACTCTGTGTGTACAATACAAAATTCTTTGACTCAATATTCTGAAAACTTTTATTTATACCATTTCAAAAGTGCAATTGTTACTTTTAAATTTTTAATCTATTTTAAATACTAATAACTAAGTTCAGTAATAAAAAATTATAAAATTAACAAATAGTTAATTAAAAAATAGAGGATGTTAACCAATGTTTAAATAAATAAAAAATAAAAGACGATAAATAATTAACATCATTTAAAGGTGTATTAACTTTTTAATATGATTTTTAATGTTATCATTAAAAGAACAAAAACGCAAAAAAAAAAAAACTTTGACATTTACTTAAAATCATAAGCATCATAAAACATCATTCAGGCCACTGGGCCATTTCATGACAAATATAACTGCGGACTGCATTAGTCTTAGTTAAAAATTGTTAGTTTGATGCATATATTTAAGATTAGAAAGTCCTTTAAATTTTAGATCAATTACTGATATAGTTCTTGAGATATGACTTGTAAATTATATAAATAATAAAAAATTAAATTGTAGTTTATTCCACACTTTTGTGGTTTTTAGGTTTAATAACTTTTGAATAAGTTGTTTACACACCTCCTTACTTTAAAAATAAAAAGTACTCCATGGAAACTTTAAATTAAAAATAATAATTTTTAACATGATTGAACTTTGAAGTTTTTCAATAATAGTTGACTAAATTTTTGTTTTTACTTTTTTTATTTCAAATTTAAGATTTTTTTGATTTTGAAGATAAAATTTTATAAAAATTAGACATTGGATTATGGACCTTTAGAATCAGGACCTACCCTTTTTATGCACTTGCTAAGTGTGTCTAAAAAATGTGTTAAAATATATTCTCCATCTTTAGAAACACTAGCTAGGTGTGTTCTGCATCTTTTAAAAGCTATTAAACCTAAAAACTACAAAATGATTATTCTAAGAGAGAAATTTTATACAAAATAACTCATCATTGAAATAGGTGATTCTTAAGAGCACTTAAGATGTTAATCCGAAAAATTTCAGGACATAATCATATATATGAACCAAAGTCCTTAAGTTTTTTTTAAAAAAAAATTTGGTCCATTTAACATGGAATGAGCCAAACATAATTAAGAAAAAACAAACCTGTAGCATATAAATCACTTAGAACATTAGCACAAGCAATTTTTCCTTGCATGTAAGGGTCATCAACAAGAGGGTAAAAAAAATCTGTTGTTTGAACAAGTTTTATATCTTTATGACGTGTTGGGATTATACAAGAATCTAAACCAATTCCAAGAAAACCATACGAATCATCATTAGATGTCATGTCATTGTTAGATGAACTGCTGTCATGCTTTAGTACCTCTAACAGTTTGAGCAATTCCTAAAAACAAATTAAAATTTAAAATTGAATAAAACATTTGGCTATTTAACATTCTTTAGCTATTATATTATAATAATATTAATTAATAATATTATTATAATTATAATATAATTATTAATTATTTTATCTAGTTATTCATTTAGCTTCTAGGGTCACAATGCTAAAATTTCAACTATTTTGTATCACAACTGTAAAAAGTCAAAAAAATTTCAAAAAAATAATTTAGATTATTAAACTATTTTAAGATTTTTCTCTAAATATTTGAAACTATAAAATTGACCAAAAAAAAGTTTAAAATATTTGCACATTGTACATCCAAAACATTAAAACTTGATTTTTTGTAAACATGTGTAAATGTTTAACCATAAAAATAATTTTTTTTATAACTTTTCATTGAAATATGTCAGTCTATTTAAACTGGTCTTGCTAGGGGAACACTTTTAAAAATTATTTAAAGATTTAAATGTTTGTAACTGAACATTAATTGATAGTAAAAATAATAAAGATTTTAAAATATGATATTAATGTTTATTTATTTTGTTTTAAAATAACTATATGTACTCTAAACTAGTTTTTAAAATTTTTGGAACACCTCCATTCTTAACTTTATATCAATATCTGCATTAGAGAGTTCCAAACATTTAATTTACATTCTTGTTGATGTAGAGTTTCAGTTAGATGTAATTGAATAAATTTATTTGGACTGTTTGTATATCAATTAAATAATGTATTGTATTTAACTGCTGTATTTGTTATATTTATTGTATAATGTTGTATATATTGTATAATAATGCATTGTATTTAAATGTATTAAATTTAATTGTTGTAATTGAATAAATTTGTTTGTATTATTTGTATATTAATTGAATAAATTTATTTGTTACCACACTCACCCTCTTCTTATGCATCTATATATATTTTCTTTTTTATTATTACATTGTACTGTATGGTTTGTCTATCTGATAATTATTTCTTGTAGGTTTAACAGCTCTTGGAAAAAGGTAAAAAATGGTTGGTAAAAAATGGTTGGCAAAAATATGCTAATCTAAAAGTGTTTTAGGTCAGCATCTAGTTGGCACAAAATTTAGAAATTGAGTTCTACAAATCAATTGAAAATTAGTCTTTTAGGTTTTGTTAAATTATTTCTTTTAGAATTAATAAAATGTTTATTTTTTCCATTTCATTTTAAATAAAACTTTTTTTCTTCTATTTTTTTTTTTAATTATTATATTAGGATTTAAATAAAAAATTTTTTTTTTTTGTTTTTTGTTTAATTTAAAATTTAATAAAATTGTTTGTTTTAATGTTGTATTAAAATTGTAAAATTAATTTGTTCAGAATCAAAATTCTGAGGTCGGTAGATAATTGCTACAGCGCAGAGGTATGTAAACTAGTTAACATTTTCATTTTGTTTCAGCTGTTGCAATTTTATAAAAAGAACAATTTTGATCTATATCAATGTAAAGTCCTTTTTTGGGACTCCACATCCTGAGTAAAATTTAATAAACAAGGGGAGGGGGTCTTAATAAGTATAGGGTTGAAAAAATTTGTACAACCTCAAATCTATAAATTACAATCTAAAAATTGTAAATTATCTTGACATAACCTTAAATCTTTCTGACATTATTACATATATGCTGCCAACAGGCTTGATTATGGTTTTTCCCGCAATGTAATTATATACAGTTATAAGCATTAGGCACTTAAATTATGTAAATTAGCACTTTTATTAAGGGAATGAAAAAAATTTGTGGATTTGAAGCTATGAATAAATAAACAAAATATGTGACATTTTGTTAAAAGAAAATTAAAAAAAAAAAACTTGAATTAAATTTGATAAAAAGAATTTTCTTTTCTTTAACATAGTTTGGAAATTTTAAAAGTGGAAATAAAATTGTCAAAGTTTTAAATTTTAAATATAATAAATTTAAATAAAAAATTTTTTAAAAACAGAAATTATGGTGAAAATGTTTTTTACAACAATTACTAATTGGTTAATGTTTTTTTGCATAAACTATTTCAAAAGACTGTTTAAATATACTATTTGAAAAGGTTTTGGCATAATGCAAATGGCATAAAGCACAGTTAAATTGCCATATGGTACATAAACTGCGAACAGCGTAATATTTCTTAACAAAGCCTGTATAGGGGTTGTATTAAGCAAGACACTAGGTTTTTTATTATTTACATTTAATAGCAGAAGACAGTGCACATCCTGGTGCATCAGTGTAGTTTTGTCTACATCTGATTAGATATGCAATGTTGAGTAAAAAGCCTGAAAATTGAAAAAAACATTGAAATTATATATGAAAAATCTACCGCTATCATACTCAATAACTTCAAAAGCTTGAAAAATACCAAAATCAATATAAGATAGTCAATGTATATACTTAAGCCACTAGCAGCAGGCTATTTCAGTGTGACTTCAGAGAGTTATCTAAACATCTAAAGAGTTAGATCAGCTTTTTCTTAATTGCTTTGGTTACTTTGTTTCATAACAACTTTTTTAGATAAAAAAAAAGTAACTTGAATACAACTGATTTTTATTTAAGTTGAAAATGTTAAAAAATCTAGTATTTGTGAAATTTTATGTGGCTTTAAATATTACTATTTTTATAATTTAAAAACATTGCATCACTATACATAATTATTTTCTATTGATAATAAAATTAAAAAAATGAAAAAAAATAAAAAAATAAAAAATAATAATAAAACAAACAAAAAAAATACCTGTTGAGGTACCTTGCACCCTCACCCTTTTAACATAGTGTAATCTGTTAGTCTAAATGATTCTTTTAAGCCATGCTCTTCAGGAGAAAATGTTTTCAGTGACATATTTTTTTGTTCCATTTTAACTAAAAATATAAAAAAATACAAATACTTTTGTTCTATAACAAGAATTGAAAAATAGTAAAAATTTACAGCTCAAAATTATCAAACTAAAAGATAAATCCTAAACTGTTTTTTAAAAAAATTAGCCTTCAGAGCACAAAATTCAAGATGAGTTTAAGTAGTTCTGTTGTCTTTGTTAGCAAATTCTTTTAGCAATTCGCACTTACGCGAGTTCACTATTCCGGTCCTTTTTCTATCGAGTCCTTAATATAAAGTAGGAGTTTGGGGGAACGAAGGATAAAAAGGTGGGTAGAATTTTTTTTTTCCATGCCTAATAAAATATCGAAACACTAAAACTGACGAAAAGAATTCCATTATGACAAATGATATTGAACACAAAAGACCAAAAAACAAAATCCCTTTTCTAAACTATAATTATCTCGGCCAGTTCGATCTAACGCTATATTACGATATTAGTATTTTTTATAAAAAACTTCAATTTATAAATCTAATATTTTTTACGAAACACGCATGTAACTATTTTCTTATTAGTCAAAGGTAATTATAAAACGACTCATTAACGATAAGAGCAACTATCTTTGATAAATTGGAGTCTTGCGAGTACTTCTGAACCAAACAAAATGTACAACTCATTTTTTTAAATATTTTATGAAATTTACGATGTAAACTTTCCAAATTGTGAGATTTGTAAAACAAATAAAACTATAAAATCACTATGGATTACAAAGATTTACGAAAATCTTCGTAAAAACAAAAATTGTATATTAAATACTTTAGGTATTTGATATACAATTTTTGTTTTTAACGATTGAAAACGATTAAAAATAAAACACTCATAAAACTTATGCAAAACAATTTAAAAAACAGAGAAAAAACATTAAGAAAAATACTATACCAATTTATTTGAAAAATACAAAAATGTTTCTAAAAAAGCATGGAAATATATAAATAAAATCATCAGTAATCATAAAATAAAAATGTGCTCTCCACCCAAAGTTATTGAAATGAATGGCGAACTCTTAAATGATCCTATTAGAATAGCAAGAAAAATAAATAATTATTTCGTATTAGTTATCCAACTTATTAGGATCCAATTTACCTAAAAATATCCTTATTGTCACTAATTTAGCAAGTGACACTCCCTCTTCATTAAACTCTTCTCTAAATATTTTTAAAACAACATTCGAAGAATTTGAATCCGCCTACAAAATGATTAAATTTAATAAAGCGGTTAGACCAGGCGATATTAATGGAAATATTGTTATTGGTTCTTATGACAATACTAAAAAAGTTTTTTTTCAAATTTTTAGTTACTTAATTAAACAAGCAATGTTTCTAGATGCTCTCAAAATAGCTAAAGTCAGTGCCGGATCAACGAGGTGGGGGGGGGAGGCGTCCTATTCATATATGAATTCAAAAAAAATAATTCTGTTGAACATACAATACTTCAACTTACTAGAAGTATTGCAAGTTCATTTGAAAAATTAGAATATACTCAGGCATTTTCATAGATTTATCATAGGCTTTTAATACTATTAATCATAAAATTCTTTTTAAAAAACTATATCTCTATGGAATCACAGAGAATGCATTATTATTATTTAAAAACTAAAAAATCGGAAACAATTTGCTAAAATAGATTGATCCTCATCATCAAACTTATTAAATATATCATGCGGAGTTCCACAAGGATCCATACTAGGACCTTTGCTTTTTTTAATTCATGTTAATGATCTCTATAAAGCATCAAATTTAGCAACAATTATGTTTGCCGATGACACAAATCATTTTCTAAGTGACAATAACCTACATTATTTAACAAAATAAATAGTAAACTCATTAAAATTTCTGGTTTCAAAACAAACAAACTATCAATAAATATTGAAAAAACTAAATGAATCCTCTTTTACACAGCTTCAAAAAATCTACTTTCGAATATACCTTTTTTGTATATTGATAATACTAAAATAAAGAGAGCTAAAATTACCAATTTCTTAGGTGTTTACATTGAACCTCAAAAACGTCAAAAGGAAAAATCATGTTAACAATCTAAACAATACAATGGCTAGAAGTAAAGGAATGCTTTATAAATCAAGAGCTTTTTTAAGTAAATATACTTTAATATAATTTAATATAAATAATATTACTTATTTATTTATTTCCATATTAATGGGCAAGGCCGGCACAATGGGTTTGTGTGTGGGGGGGGGGGGAGTTAACCCCCCTTCCCCAACAATGACCAATACGGATACAATGACCAATACGGATATAAAAAAAGCCACTCAACTGAACATGCTGTAATAAAATTAGTTAACGATATTTTAAGTGGCTTTGACAAAAACAAACACACCCTTGGAGTATTTATTGACCTTTCAAAGGTTTTTGATACAGTGGATCACGAAATCCTTCTATACAAACTTCATAATTATGGTATACAAAATAAAAATTTTAAATGGTTCAGTTGCTATCTTGCTTTCTATACCCACTCTAACATTACTACACTTTTTAATACAGAAAATCAGGAACTTGAAGAGTTGAGCGATTGGTTTAAAGCAAATAAACTTTCTGTCAACATTGAGAAAAGTAATTATATCTTTTTCACAAAACCTTACAATTCAGACAAACTACCATTAAAACTTCCAGATTATTCTATTAGACAAAGTTAGACTAAATCGAGCGTTCTCAGTTAAATTTCTCGGGGTAATATTAGATGAACATATTAGCTGGAAAGACCACATCAATATATTAAAAAACAAAATATCTAAAAACATTGGAATTATGCATAAAACCAGATATATTTTAAATAATGCATGCCTTAAAAGTTTTTATTTTGCATATATACATAGCTATATTAACTACTGCAATATTGCCTGGGCTAGTACCTACCAATCAAAACTAGATTTAATATATAAAAAACAAAAACAAGTGTGTCGTATATTAACAAACGCAAATAAAAATGCCAATTCTAAGCATTTAATGAGGGAACTGAGAGTTCTTAATATCTACAAACAAAATATATATTACATACTTCAGTTCATGTTTAAATTCAAAAATGATCTGTTCCCTGAAGTCTATCATAACTATGTTCACCTTATTAATCACAAATATCAAAAAAAAAAAATTTGTATTTTGTTTATATTTTATTATATTTTGTCAACGACAAAAATGGGGCAAGATGATAAGACTCTTGTCTTCTACTTACTCCAGTCATATATTTCACGGTAAAATGTTGTACAAATTTATATTAATAATGACAAAAATATATATATATAAAAAAAAAAAAAAAAAAAAAAAAAAAACATTGGTTTTTTCGTTTATTTAGTCGGCAAACTTGACCCTTTTTGACTAGTAAGTCGGCAAATGTAGACCCTCACGACAAATTATAAAGCGAGGACCTTTTTTTTTTTTTCTAGTTGGCAAAAGTTGTAATGGCACCCCCCTTTCACGTGACACCTATTCGCGCCGGCCCTGTGTATGGAGTGGTGTAAATAAAGTATACTAGAACTTCTTTATCGTCAATAGAAACGCAGGGGCGGATTGAGGTTTAGTGTCGCGGAAGGAGGAGAGGCAAGTCAAGGAATAGGGGGCGACCGAAAGTCTTTTTGTTATAGATTTTATGAAAGAAATTGCCAGGTTTAAAGGTATAGAATCTTTAAACATGAAAGGAGGTGAATTACTTTTTCACATATAGACAAAACATAGTATATTAAATGTATTCTATTCATATATATTAAGCATTTTTATCTCGATAAAAAAAAAATTTTGAGTTTGCAAAACGACCTGCAAAATTATTCTCACAAACTTTTATGGTGGTAATAAAGAAGTTATAAGTTATTTTCTCAGTGCTTCCTCAGACAATATTTGTTATAATTTAAATAGCTATGATTGGGTTGGGTGTGGTATTTTAAACAGCTATGATTGGGTTGGGTGTGGTACATTTATAATTTAAATAGCTATGATTGGGTTGGGTGTGGTATTTTAAATAGCTATGATTGGGTTGGGTGTGGTATTTTTATAATTTAAACAGCTATGATTGGGTTGGGTGTGGTATTTTAAATAGCTATGATTGGGTTGGGTGTGGTATTTTTATAATTTAAATAGCTATGATTGGGTTGGGTGTGGTATTTTAAACAGCAATGATTGGGTTGGGTGTGGTATTTTAAATAGCTATGATTGGGTTGGGTGTGGTATTTTTATAATTTAAACAGCTATGATTGGGTTGGGTGTGGTATTTTAAATAGCTATGATTGGGTTGGGTGTGGTATTTTAAACCCCAGAATTATTTTCATTACTAAATTACTTTATAAGTGTTTTTATGTGACTTTTATTACACATATTACATACATATAAGACACTAAATAACCTAATTTTTTTTTGAGTTTTCTTTGTTTATTTTAGTTAACAATTATCTTATATAAAATAAGAAACATTTAATATTACTGAAATAGTTAAGTCATTTAAAAATGTATTTAACTAGACATATTGCAAAAGTTAGCATTTAGAAACAAAATTTACTTTTCAGGTAGTTTACACGAACTCTGCAAGATTTCATTGAAGCAAAACGATTTATTGACAAATCAAAGTCAATTTTTTCAGCAAGCTCACGTTCAATAGAAATTAATGCTGATCCAGAAAGATCAATTGTATGTCAGTGTTCATTGATGGGAATATTGATGCATAAACATCATTGAAAGTCTCATACTCTGCGACTGCTTCTTAAGTGTTTACGTCGTTACAATAAATTTGACATAAATTTTAAAAATGAATTTATATTTTCTTCAAATTATTTTGACGGATCAAGGCAATCAAAATGTGTAACTGTGTTACTAAAGTCGTGAAGTCGTTTATTTATTTGGGTTATAATTGTATCCAAAACAAGTAGGTTTCACATTTTATGCATGTGTTTCGATTATCAACTTTTTCATATCTCCACAGCTCCCCTGTCATGCGTTTCTTTATGGCATGATGTTAGGTTAACTGAATTTAAAAAAAGGAGTTTTCTTTAAATTCAGTTTCTACATCTTGTTCGGCACATTTTTCACTAATAAATAGTTTGACTGCTATATGTCGAACTTCAAAAGCTTCATCGTTTCTAATAAATTTTTTTGCAAATAAAACATCTATATCTTCTCGTTTCAAATAGTTAGATAACACACAAAGATTAATTAACAACTTTGGAAAAAATAAAATTAGAAAAACAAATGAATGTTTTTTTTTTATCAAAACTGATAGTCTAATAGATTC